GCACTTACTTCCTCATGAAGTGGCTTCTCACACCTGAGTGTGCCCTGAGTCTCCAATACTCACCACTAGGTGAATGTTCAGAGACACTTCTAACAAAATGGAAGAATGCATTTAGGGGTTGGGGTTCAGTGTCAGCAAACCTACCTAGCATGCATAAAAAGCCCCAGATCCAACTCCCTAACAGCTCCTGAGGAGCTCCTAAGACAAATTGATTTCAGAATGATTATGCTCAGGGAAAGAAGCAGAAACAAAATGTATCATCACAGTTTTATAAGTTTCTAGGAAATGCAAAGTATTCCAGGGAAAAGTTGAGCTGAGATTTCTAAAGGTGTATACTGATGGACACAGGAAGCTCCCCAGGCTGGTGGAAATGCACGCCTTTTGAAATGTCACTGTCCTAACTTTTAAACAATCTCCCATTTCTTCATGTTGGTTCCTTTTTAATTTCTCATTTTCTCCTTTTTTAAAAAAATGCAGATTCTACACATGAGAGAAAATGTGACATTTGTCTTTGGGAGTCTCCCTTATCTTAGTTGATATGGTGATCTCTAGTTCTATTTATTTTCCTGTAAACAATGCAATTTCATTTTTCTTTATGGCTGAATAATACTCAATTTCATACACACACACACAGAGTATATGGTTTTTCTGTTCATTCATCTGTTGATAAGCAGGAGGCTGGATTCATAGCTTGGCTACTGTAAACATCACTACAGTGAACACTGGGTAATGCATTCTCAAGAAGGGAATAGCTGGGTTATATGGTAGTCTTGTTTGTTTGTTTGTTTATGTATACATCTATCTATCATCTATCTATCTATCTATCTATCTATCTATCTATCTATCTATCATCTATCTATCTTTCAGAAACTTATTAATGATCCCTGAAGTGGCTGTGCTGATTTTCTTTCTCTCAGAATGTGTAACAGTTCCTTTTTGTCACCTGTTTCCTTGATGACAGTCATTCTGATGGGTGAGGTGGCATCTCTGATTTGCATAAATGCCTTAGGGCTTCTAAAGGAGAAGATTCAGAGAACACTTGAAGATGCAGGAGCAGGCAAAGAGTCTCTGAGAATATTTTTTCCATCATACATTTAGGCAGCAATGCTCTAAACAGTTAGGACAGCTAAGAGTTGTCCAGCACATGCCTTCACCCAGAACTCACAAGTGTATTAACATTGCATCTTTGCTTACCTTGAACAAAAATAAGCATCACGATTTACTAATCTAACACCTAGTACCCAGAGCAGTAGGGAATACACCCTTGATGAATATTGATTGAGTGAACAAATGGCTGTACTATGGATGAGCACATTCTTAAGACTCCTGATAGAAGAACCAATGAAAAGAGAAGGGTGAGAAATTCTAATTCAGTCTCAAGAACAGGGTCATCGCCCGGTGGCTCAGAGGTCATTGTTCAGCTCAGCTGCTGTCTGAGCAGAGTTTTGGTCATAGTTGTTTGAATGTTTAATATGCTTTAAAGAAAGATATGTTAGCTTTATAAACTTGATTCCAAAAAATGCAAATAAAAGCAACCTCGATGGACTTGTATACAGTGAGAACAGCCACTTGGAATAGAAGCTATGTAACTTTACATTGGGCTTTACACTTCCATTTATAATAGAGTTTACAAATTTCAAATTAAAAAAAATAAGCCAGACAGTGGTGGCCTAAACCTTTAAACCCAGCACTTGGGAGACAGAGGCAGAAATATCTCTGTGGGTTCAAGGCCAGCCTGTTCTACAAAGCGAGTTCCAGGACAGCCAGGGCTGTTAACAGAGAAGCCTTGTCTTGAAAAACAAAATTTGATTCACTTATAGGAATTATGTGTTGAAAACACATGGACGTTTATTTTTCTGCCTGTTTCTTGATTGCTCTGTGGCTGTCCCATACTAAATGCCCGCTACCTGTCAAACAGATGCCGCGGGTATCTCAGTAAGAATTTCAGAATGTTTAGAAGAAAACTAAGGGCAGAAATCAAAGGGAAAAAAAAAACGTTTTAAATATTCTCTTTTGTCTCCCAGATGGTCAGATGTTGAAGTCTTGGCCACTAGGTGGTGGCACCATTAGGAGACTGTAAATGCATTCTGAGATGAGGCCCAGGGATAGTATATCCCTGAGATAGCCTGTGATGCAGTTTACAGAGAAGGCCTCCTCAGCTCCTCTTTTGTTCTAGTGATGAGGTGGTTGAATTTCCCTCGACCTATTCTCTCACAGTGATAAACTGTCTCACCCCAAGCCCAAAAGCGATGGGGCCACCTGACCACAAGCTAAATCCTCTAAAACCTTGAGTCATAATAAACCTTTCCTTTGTATATATTATCTCAAGTGTGTGTTATAGAAAGCTGACTGACACTCTTGGGAGGATGTTGGGGACTTGCTTTGAAGCACATTTGATCTTTTCTTTGAGACACTGGGCATCTAACCATAGGGACCAACACAATAAGTTCTGGCCTCAGGCGCTCCTGTTGTCCCAGAGAGACCATTGGCGCTGACTGTCCAGGAGAGGCTGTCAGGAAGGTTGTATTTGGTCTGCCAAGGTTGAATCCTGTTAATAGTCGGGGATTTCCTGTCTTGAGAGCAAAAAGGTGTAGCCATGCCAAGCGTAATTAAACACTTAGCCTTAGACGTTTTTTCGTAATTTATTCATAACACCAGCATATGGTTTCTGTCCTTCTGGGAATTTAAGGTCATTGCTATGAGAGGAAGGAGAAGATTATTTTCCCCCTCCTGAAATGTCTCACTTGCTGCCTCTGTGATGCCTTCAGCCGGAAAATGCGGCTTCCACAATGGCAAGTTGCTTTAGCTCTGGTCTTGCAAATCAAGGGCTCAAGGTGTTTAGGCTATAAGTAGCTGGCTGTTTCCTTATGCTCCTACAGGGTTCTGCTAACCCTTTTCCCACAGAGAATCAGTTTTCAGAACCAGGTGTTGAGGAGGGTAATGATGGTAGAGAGGAGGGCTCACACATGGCTCTAGGCTATGCCCTTAGCTTCCCTTTCAGTCCATTGTAGTGATATTTTGTTTGTAATCTAACAAAACTCGCCAAGAGCTCAGAGTGGTTAGCAGAGCTAAACCACTAGTTAGCCGTAGAGGCCAGGCAGTGGTGGCACACACCTTTAATCCCAGTACGTGGGAGATACACGCCTTTAATCCCAGCACTACAGAGGGGGAGTTAAGAGTGATATACCAGGGAGAAGAGAGGAATATAAGGCAGAAGGAAACAAGAGCACAGATGCAGTCTGTGGTAGGGACAGCAGTTAGTCTGAGGATTCGTGGAGACAGGGTTGCTCCTATGGTCTGAGCATTGGCGGAGGTAAGAACTCTAGTGGCTGACCACTCTGCTTCTCTGATCTTTCAGCATTAACCTTTATATGACTCTGAGTTTTAATTATTAATATCAATTAGAATTCGTGTTACAGACTATTAAGGCTTTGAAAACAACCTTTTCATTCTGAATGTTGAGATGAAAAAATAATTCAATTTTTTCTTATCGTTAGCCCAGATTTAAAGTCTTTTTGGACTGCTGACTTAAGTATTTCTTTGTTGCTATTATCTGTATAGATATATCTAGCAATCATCTATATAAACACGGATAAACTTAAATATATTTATTAAGCCCAAGGATCTGAAATATGTATACATTGTGGATTGGCCACATCAATCATATGCATTATTTCGCATACTTATCCTTTTTTTGTGATGAGAACCCAAATTGATTTTGGCAGTTTTTATGGTTGTAATACATTCTTGAAGCATTTTTTTGAAGTCTTTATTATGGAGCCCTGGCAAAACTCACATCATTTTGCCTGCTTCTGCCTTCTAAGTGCTGGGGTTGAAAGGTAACACCACACCCAGCCAGTCGTACACCATGTTCATCAGCCATTTGACACCATGATGTACGTAAAGCATCGTTCTTAGCTCTCACAGTGTGCATAAAGTGTTTCTCTGAGATCTAGGCCAATTTTTCCCCTTCTTCAAATTCTAATTTCTAATGCCTTCTGGAAATAAAAGCTAACCTATTTATAAACTATGTGTTCAGTATACATCTGTGATCATGGAAAAGACTGGTGAGGTGACAGGCAAGAGAAGCAACAGCAAGTAAGTAGCAGTGAGCAGGAGGAGAGAGAAAGAGAGAGAGAGAGAGAGAGAGAGAGAGAGAGAGAGAGAGAGAGAGAGAGAGAGAGAATCCGGGCAAGCTGAATATAGAACAGCAAGTACTAGAGGTTGGGGTTCAGTGGGGGAGTCCTGGCCAAAGAGAGGCTGGGTTTGGCTGGTACATAAAATATGTACCTGTGTTAAGATGGCGCACTGACTCTCACTGGTACGCAATTAACATGGTAATGAAAAACGACACTCCAGGGCCCAAGGAGCACCTGTTGGCCCTGGATAGCCAGGTCCCCTTCCCTGTCAACAGTGGTGAGTCCCTGCCATGTGTCAAGACCAGGGTCTGGTAGAGAGAGCCATTCGGCCAAGGAAATGGGGTGCAGCTGAAAAGGGGGTCACCCTCTAGTCCTTCACGTGTTCATGTGGAACCTGGCACTAAACCATTTGTAGACGACCTGCTTCTGGATTGGGAAAGAGAAGGAAGGAAGGAAGGAAGGAAGGAAGGAAGGAAGGAAGGAAGGAAGGAAGGAAGGAAGGAAGGAAGGAAACGACACCAACACTAAGCTGCAGACATTTAGAGTTGTATGGGACACAATAAGGAGCCTACATCAATCAGCACAGGCTAGAGCATGCTATCTTAACAAAGAGCCTGCTGTGACACACAACTGCCTGTGACATCTAGTTCTCGAAGATTCAAGGTCCTCTTCTGGATTCCACAGGCACCTCGCACCTGTGACATACACTCCCACAGACACACACACACACACACACACACACACACACACTTATATAACAAAAATTGGGTGGAGGGAAAGAGTACAGTGATTGTGATCAATTCTCTTGTGAGAGGTGACTGGCATTGCCCTCTGACCTGCCCTCCACCCCACATTTTATTAGACAACGAGAGATTCAGCTATACTGTGCTTGCAACAGATCCGCCAAGCCTCCTGGACTGGAAACTTAATTCCCAGTGCAGCGGTTGTCTCCCTGTGTAGTGCAACAACCTAACTGGTGATTAGGTTGCTACGCTGTTATTGTTACCGTTCCTGTGGAAGTGGATTAATTACTGCAATAGTTAAGTTGTTTTGTTATGAAAGCAAGGCCAGCTTTGCTGAATCCCTCACTTTCTGACTCAACTGAAAGGTGAGAGCTGCTGATGGGAAGATCCGTGCTAGAGGCGAAGTGGGTTCCACAGGTACCTCAAGCTATTCTGGGACCTGGTGTCTGGGGCCACTGAATGGATAAGTAGGCCTGGCTGTCCCGAAAGAAATGTTCTGAGACCAGCAGTGTGTGTACTGTTGATCTTATGAAAAGGCTTTCCTCAATAAGACGTGGTGGTTTCTTTATTCTTTCTTAATGAGAAGGCTGGACTTGAGGGAGACTATAGAGATCCCTCAGCATTTGTGCGTTGTAAACATGAGTGTTTGAAAGCCGAGCAAGGCTCGATCTGTGCTCCAGCCTTACAGTTGAGGTCCAGACGACAAAGACAGGCTTGATCATTGATGACACAACCAACTCCTACGAACAGAGAAACAAAATGAATTTAGGACCTGCTTGGTCAGAGTCCCCTTCAGCCCCTCTGAGGTACTTGGCTCTCCTCACGTGACAAGAACAGCTTTAAATCAGAAAAAGCCGGCCTTCGCTGACAGAACCAAGCATGATCGTGATCCAATTCTCTCCTTCTTGGCAGTGCTTCTTCCTGCTCACACCCTGAGCTCTCAACAGGGTGTTCAGAGATGGGATCCTTGGAAGAGAAGTCGCTGGTATCCAGAGGCTGAGGACAGATGCTTGGGGTTATTTTTTATGTTAGGTTGTAGCAAACATAAAGGAGAAGTGTGGCTTTTGTTTCCAGCCATATGTGCGGCACACACAAGAAAGGTCCTTCGCGCATCTGGGTGAGAGGGTTTGTGGCCACGCGGAGGAACAACATGAAAGGAGGTAGGGAGGGCTCGGGATGAAGATTAAAGCCCAACTTCTAAGGCTCCTTTAAGTTGGACCGTGTGGAGAGAAGAAAAGCCTGAATTATGTAAAAGCTGGCTGGGAGCCCACATCTGGCAACAGTCAGATTGTTCGGTGAGAAGAAGCCTCTCCCGCCCCCACAGCAAGCAGAGCTGGGTCCTGGTGTCGCTATGGCCCTGGGGCCCTGGCATCATGTGGGGACCTGGTAGGAGACAACGTTTATGTCCCCCTGGTCTCCTAGCCCATCTTGGGGTGTGTGGTTTCTGTTCTCCTTTACACCAGGATGGTCTCAGTCCCAGGCTCACTCCTGCATGACCCTGCAATGGGTTTTTCTCCAGGTCTTCCAGACAGTCCCAGAGGTAATAAGATCTTTTTCTGGGGCAGCAATTTTCTGAGGGGAGTCTCCTCCTTGCCACTCGCTCCCTGCCTCCTTAGTAAGTAGTCATTCCCCAAAATTAAGCCAGGGGCACGTCCCCTCTGCTCACTATCTTTGTTTGCTGTTATTGGGCCCATAGGCTGATCCTAGGGGTATCAGCGCACAGGGGTGTGGACCCCAGGACGTTCCTGTTGGAGACTGCCTCTTCCCATAAACAATAACGTGGGCAGGGCCTGAAGCTCAGACCCGACTAGCCAGTGGAGGTAAAGTATAGGAATAAAAATAAAAGTTCCCTGGAGGGACAAGGGGGCGGGATGGGATGGGTCACCAACGCACTTCAGGATTCCCCTGACTCAAGCCTGTAGCCCATTGCTGCCACACTGGTGGGACAGACAGACACTACAGACAGGAACTGGTCAGAGAGGCTGTGCTTCTGCTCCAGCACATGCGGGAGCTTGGGGGTGGGTTAGTAACCGAGCGAGGTCTGGGGGCCTCTTTTCAAAGTCAGCCCTGAAGTTTCTGTTCTGATTTAGGTTTGTTCATAAAAGGCACAGTTGGTTCCTGTTAAGTCAATAGCGTTTGAACTGTTGCTTAGATATTCATCTCCAGTGAGATCCGTCCTGACATCTCTGCCTGCGTGCTGTATTTCACAAAACCTGGCCAGTGCTTCTATTTTCTTCTTTCTGTGAGGAGAAGGGGGTTGAGAGTGCACAGATTCAAATCGCATTCTTGCTGTTAATCGTGTCCTTCCATGCTGTGTACCCTTAGCTGCTACCTCAGCAGATGGGCTCTGCCTTTTCTCTCCCCTACAGCTTCAATTTCCTATAAAATACAATGTGGAAATGTGACCAAAGCTTCAGCCCCGGGCTTAACCCTGAATGGCAATTCCAAAAGGCCCAGCAAGAGTTCTAACTGCCCCAGAGTTTATCCACACTGGTGACTGCAGTCAGTCCGGCTCAGAATGGCCTCGTTGGGGGATGCTAGGGTTTGGCTAGAACTGAGTGTGTCCCCCAAAGGCTCCTATGCTGAAAGTGTGGTGGCCATGTTAAAAGTTGGAGGGACTTTAAAAGATGAAGGCTAGACTTACATGTGCAGCGTGGAGAAGGCTAGCATCCTTACCTGTACAGCCTGGAGAAGGCTAGCATCCTTACCTGTACGGCCTGGGGAAGGCTAGCATCCTCAAGTCTGTAGAATGAGGAAGATTTAGTCTTTTCTCCTGGATGAGTTGGTTCTCTTGAGAGTGGGTTGTTATAACATGAAGCCACCCCTCTGCATATGGCATCTTCTGCAGGTTTGTTTCCTTTTCTCCAATTTGTGACACAGCCAGGGAAGCCTTCCTGGAAGCTGACCTGAGGGGGTACTTGATCATGAACATTCAGCTTCCAAAACTATGAGCTAAATATGTTGAAGGGAAGAGCGGCCAGGGCTGTGTCCCCGGCACCCGGCCACCCACATGGCTAGCTTATGCCCCGAAATAATTACACAGAAACTGTATTCTTTTAAACACTGCCTGGCCCGTTATCTGTAGCCTCTTATTGGCTAGTTCTTACATATTAATCTAACCCATTTCTAATAATTTGTGTAGCCCACAAGGTGGCTTACCAGGGAAGATCTTAACCTGCATCTGTCTGGAGCAGGAGAATCATGGCGACTCCCTGACTCAGCTTCTTTCTCCCAGCATTCTGTTCTGTTTACTCCACCCACCTAAGGGTTGGCCTATCAAGGGGCCTAGGCAGTTTCTTTATTAATAAGAAATCACTCCCACATCATTAATAAACCTTTTTTCTTTATAAAGTACTCAGCTTCAGGTTACTTTGTTACAACAGAAACTAGATTAATACAGGGCACACCAGCCTGACAGATCTCAGGCAAGACCAGCAGACAAGACGCAGGATACACGAGCGCTAAAAGCATTTTACAACAAAACAGTGTATGTGACAAGACTGTGGAAATTTCTTAACTAATTTTGATTTAATCTTGCATCTAGGAACCTAGGAAAGTGAGGCGTGAATACCTACGAGAGAGAGAGAATTTGGCAAGATCCACGAAAAGTATAACTAGGCATGTAGCATGTGGAGTGGGTCTGTCATTATTACACATGGAGGTTTGGGATAGGTTGATCGACGGCAGGGGTGACATCACAACATAAACATTAATAAAAAAAACAAAGACAAGGATAAGATATTTTAAACTATTCCACATGCTTAAACTGAGCACTTGTTGAGAATAGCACACGATTAGTCTATTAGCCAGATGAATGACTCATTGGCCACAGCTGTCAATCAAAGGGGAGAGAAATGATGTACCATGTTCAGCCGGCAGTGATCTGGGTCCCTGTCTGTCTTAGGAAGTGATTCTTCTCTAGAGGAAGTGGGACTGAAGCGTACATGTAAAAGCAAAGAGTTAGAGCTGAGCCTTTGAGCAAGATCAACCTGGCCTGGAAACATGCTCTTGTCATTTATGAGATGTGACATTTTGGGTAAGTCCCCAAGTCTGAGTTTGCTCATTTACAGAATGGACAGGATAGAATATATCATCACAGAACAGATAGACTCAAGTAATACAAGTACATCAATGGCTTTGTACAATGCTTGACTAACAATGAATGTTAGGGGCCAGCAACCTGGATCTATGCCCCTCCAGAGAAAGACGCAGCTTGACTTCTTGTAATCTTCATTTGAAATGGTATTCATTACTTTTCTGGTTATTATGACTGACTGCCTGTTTGACAAAAGTAACGTAGAGGAGGACTAGCTAGCACACACCCCTCAAACCCAAGTCTCAGCCCTTGCGGCAAGGCATTATGACATGATCTTACATATACCGGTGAGAGTCACAACCAGGCTCTAGTGACGTTGCAGCAGAATGGAAGATGCTGGCTTCTGTTACAGTTTGGGTGTAAGATGTCTCTCACAGGTTTATACATTTGAGTGCTAAATCCCCAGCTGGTGGTCTGGTTTTGCAGATTGTGGAAACTTTTGTTTGCCTGTCTACCAATCTCTCCCTCCCTTCCTTTCATTTCCTTTCCTTTCCTTTCCTTTCCTTTCCTTTCCTTTCCTTTCCTTTCCTTTCCTTTCCTTTCCTTTCTTTTCTTGTTGCTTCAACTCTCAATTTTATTTATTTATTTAGTCTCAATTTTTTCAATTAGTAAATTTTATTCCTTGACACTTTCATATATGTATATAATGCACTCTGGTTACTACCCCCTTCTATTTATCCAATCTTTTAAACATAATTCTTTATTGATTCTTTGGGAATTTCACATCATACACCCCAATCCTACCTGTTCCTCCATATCTACCCCTCACCCTGAAGCATCACCCTGAAAAGAACCTCCCTAAATAAATTTTTTTAAAAAACCCACCTCACTCCTCTACCTTTCCTGCCTCTCCAGCACCTCTTCATTCATCCTAGTGGCACTGGATACTGTGGTGTGTCACACAGTGTACCCTTTTGTCCAATCAGCCCCACCCACAAGTGTTCATGACAATGAGTCATTGGTCTGGCTTCTGATCAGTCACAAACGGGACACCTATACTACTCTCTCTGCTAAGGCTTGGGGACCACAACAGAAGAAACGGCAGATGGTTGTGAAAGGCAGAGGCCAGGGAAGACTGGAGCAGAATAGTATCTTAGGGACATGACAGGACCACGGCAGCTCCAGTCGCCTGGATAAGACCTGCACAAGATCAAACCAGTCTGCCTTCCAGCACGGAATAGATTGCCAGCTCCAACATCTAACTGGGGAATATCTGTAAGCATATGGCCCCCTGGTAGTAGGTTGGCTATGCTACAGCGGATGACCCCATACCCATGACTACATGGGCAGCACACATTGGACTCAGCAGGTTAATAAAGGGGGGGCATGAATTGGGAGAGAAAGATCTAGGAGGAATTAGAGGGAGGAGGAAGGAGATCAAACTACACTGTATGCATGTATGAAATTCCCAAAGATCTAACTAAAATGTTATACTAAAAATAAGACTACTTGGAAAGACTAAACTCCATGTAAACTACTGTCTGGACCTTTCTGTTGGTCATGCAGCCCTGCCCAACCTCTGGCCAGTGTATTGTTAAGAACAGAATAGAAAAATGTCGTGGGGCAGGAGGCACACCCAGCTGAGTTTACCGGGAAGCGCCCTTAGATTCATGTCTTTAATTTCTGCTGGCTTGTTTACCCCTCAGGGGAACTTCCATGCACTGTTTTCCTATGCATATTTTCCTGTGAACCACATGAACACCCGAACACCCGAACACATGAACACACGAACATCCGAAAAACACGCCTTCCAATCAGCTCCCTAGTGCTGTGTCATGTGTCCAAATTCCAGAAACGCTCTTTGGGCTCTGGGCAGATCTGCAAAGGCAGTTCTGACCTGGGCTTCTGGGCCTCATTTGTTCTGCCCCCACTGCTTGCTGCTCAGCCTGAAGGGCTGGCTCATCTGGGCAGCAAGCAGTGGGGGCAGCATCTGGGCACCGTCACAGGATATTTCTATGGGCTGGGGAAGAAAGTTATCCAAGAAGGGATGAGCTTGGAGTGAGGTTTCTGCAGACCGTAGTACCTGGTCACCAGCTCTCACCATTAGACTATACACAGAGAACAAGGGTTCTCTACACTACAGGAAGAGACGCACCCAAAAGGCGGCTCTGTGACCATGTAAACAACATGAACAGAATGAAAGGGGCACAGCCAAAAAGGATGCAGTGGGAGGCAAGATCCTAGGAGAGACCCAGGGGCAAATCTTTTGCCCCTGGAAGCAGGCTGGTTTTCAGTCTATCAAAAGGGCAGCCTGATGGCCGTAAAGTCTAGATTCCCCCTACTCTTGGAGTCTCCAGTTCAGCCGGGCCAATAGGACAAGGCAGTGGGCCAACTGAAGCCACACAGGCATCAAAGTTAAAAGTTAATTAGCTTAATTTTTTTCCCCTAAAGTTAAAGTAAAAATAAATCGAAGTCGGCTTGAACTGGAGACTAGAGAGCATTGTAGAAAGAGCCTGAGAAAGTCCCAGGCGCAGGTCACAGCTCTAAGGAGGCTGACTCTGCATAAAATGGTTCGGGGAGGAGGCCTCCATGAACTCAGTCTGTTTGTGAGTCCTTTGCCTTCGTCTCCTAGACCTAGTCATCTTCTGGCTGAAACCTTTCTTATATGGCTGTGCCCTGGCCTCCAGCCGCTTCGGTTCATTTAAACAGGTTGGCGAGGTGGTTCATCCAACAGATTGTGCTAGGGGCTGAAAATGGAGGGACAAAGGGGACATGGGCACAGGGCTCAAAAGCTGTGAGGGTCCAGAGCTGCAAGCAAAATATTCCCAGCAAAAGCTGTAAAGAGACATTGGACAATAGAGAAAAGTCCTGAATTAAATCAGCAGGTATACTTCAAGGATGGGCTGGCCTCAGAATGGAAACCAGGAGATGTGCTATGTTTGGGAAGGGGTTTTGCTCTTGTTTTAGGAAAAGAAATACTATGGATGCCATCAAAATTAATCAAGACTCAATGTGAAAAAGAGAAACCTTTAGATAAAGAGAAATGATAGTTCATCCACAGAGGTGATAATCCTACAAGTTGTAAGGAAACTTCACAGGGTTGGGGTAGGGTTCCATTCTTCTCTTTGCAGGAAAATACACATCTTTGAAAAGTCAAGACCTTGGACATCTGGATGCCTTAAAGAAGAAAAGATGGGTATCCAGAAAGCGTCACAAGGAAAAGAAAAATCTGACTTATGATACCAATATTCTCTATAGGGTAAAATCTTACTACGTAAACATGCATAGCTCCTTACTTTTCAATATAATGGTAGTCCCGACTCAGTTAAAAAAAAAATCAAAGCTGACTTTGGAGTTGGAGTGTGGCTCTCTTCTTCTCTAAACCCAAGCATGCTTATTAAAGTGAAACCCGAAGTCTATGTCTCATGTCAGAAGAGTCACGTGATATGGAACAGAAGCCTCAGTGTGCTTGCTAGTCTGCTGTGCTCTGACGCACTCTTTTTTTCCCCCCAAAAGAATTGCTTTCTTAGCTACTTTGACTGGGTTTTTATGTTCCTTTGTGCAACACCGCAAGCATTCTTTGTGTGTTTCTAACAATAGGAAATTCCATTGTTAAAGAACTTTAAAGAAACATTCTACTCTTGCAGGGGACCTGAATTTGTCTCTTAGCATCCGTATCAAGTGGCTCAAAACCTTGTTTCTCCAGCTCCAGGGGATCAAACGTACTTTTCTGGCCCCTAAGATCACCCACACTCAATACATGTACCTATATGTAGAAACACATGTATAGACACATAATTTTCAAATTATCTTTATTATAAAAAATTTGAAAAAATTATATACCAAAATTAACCAAACTAACAGTTTATATCTCCCCATGAATCTGTATACAGCTAGAATATACATCCTAAAGCGTGGAGCTTCCCTGGGTTCTACACTATCACACCGTTTACTTATTTATTTACTTACTTATATATTCTTTTCTGATATAATACATCCCGACAGCAGTTTCACTTCCTCTCCTCCCTCCATCCCTTCCACTGCCCGCTCACCTCCTCTCTCCCCGAGATCTACTCCTCTTCTGTTTCCCCTCAGGAAAGATCACACCTCCCAGAGATATCACCTGAATACAGTATAAGACACAGTAAGACTGGACACAAAACCTCTTATCATGGCTGGATGAGGGAACTGAGTAGGAGGGAGAGGGTCCCAAGAGCAGGTGAAAGAGGCAAAGATACCTCTGCTCCCACTGTTAGAAGTCCCACAGACACACCAAACTAACAACCATAACACATAGGCAGAGCATGCAGTGTAGTGTTTGTCAGTGACTGAGAACACACACTGCTGCTGCAGAGGCTCTGGACCAGCACTTTTGTTTGGAAGCTTACAATCTCCTGTAACTCCAACTCCGTGGGGGATCCAAAGCCTCCAGCTTCCTTGGTTACTTCTATTCATGTGCATACACCAGTCCAGAAACACAGACACATAATTAAAAATTAAGTAAGTTTTAAGAATTAAAGAAAAAACTCACCAAGCTATTTCAAACAGTACTCATTGTAGACACCAAGTAAGGCCAGCAGACACCCTGACAACTGTCAAAGTCTTTTTGGTGACCCCTGCTTGTGTCAGGGTCATATGTAATAAGGTCATTGGGAAACCTGGGGGTACCAGGGCCCTTGGGGAGGGATGTCTCCTTCCACTTGCAGATGAACGTGCTTAGGTTCTTGCTGACCTGGGAGCTTCAAGGCTGCCAGGCTTTACAGAATTCTGCTGTGGTGGTTTGGGTGTGGCTCGGACGGCCTTCATAATGGTTTGTTATAATTAGTCTTGGCCTCCATGAAGATGGTACTGATGGGAGGTGGTGGGAGATGGGGACTTGTAGGAGGTCCTTAGGCTACTGAAAGATTGTATGGAATCATCTATCTGTGTCTGTCTGTCTGTCTGTCTCCCTTCTCCCTCCTTCCCTCCATCCTTACACCTCCTTTATTTCCCCCACCTCTGCTCAATCTGCTTGATGATGGAAGGCTATATGAGCTGGACCTCTCATGGCTGTGACAAATGCCCAAGATAAACCAAGAGGGTTCATGAGGAAAGAGCTCCATGGTCAGCTGCTCCATTGTTTCTAAGCCCTGGTAGAGCAGAACTTCATGGCAGAGACTGTGGCAAAGACAAGTTCCTTTCTTTATGGGCAGCCAAGAAAGTGCAGAGAAGGAACAAGAAGGGTTCTAATCCAGGGTCTACTTCCTAAGAACACAACTCAGGGGCCCTTCATACAGATCCCACCCTCACAGATCCATCATCTACCAATCATCTATTTGGATTTTGAATCCATCAGTGGGTTAGGCCAGAACCCTCATGGGTTCACCATCTCCATAAACACCCTCTGGGGTATAGGTATGCTTTACTAACTTATATTAGCATCTGCCAGTCAAGTCCGGTTGACATCCACGGTAGCCATCCACAGCGCTTCCAGATGTGCACACCTCTACTGCCATGTGAGCACAGCCAGAAGGACCTTTCCAGTGCCACGCTCCAGGCTTCCAAACCTGTGAGCTAAGAGAACTTTTCCCCTTTATAAGCTAGTGACCTTAGGCATCTCATTGTAGACACATAAAGCTGACTAACTTATATTAGCATTTCTTGTATGCTTTGTCGCTCCTCTGGAATGCCTGCAAGCACTCTACTGGTCTAGGTAAACTCTTCCCAGATGTCCCCACCAAAATTTCATTTGCAGGAGAATTAATCCTCAGCCCTAAAAATGACTTCCTAGATCACTAATGCCCCATGGCTGGAAGCTGGGATCTTGTTGAGCTAGGGAGATATTCGGGACAATGTGCAGGAAGGCAGATTTGGAGCTAAAATTGCAGCAGTTGATTTGACTTTCAAGCCAAGAATGGAAGCCTATATTTCTGGCTCTGCCAGAAGTGACTTCCCAAGAAAGCTATGCTGGTTTCCTCCCCTGAAGAAGGAATCATGTGAGGAAGGAACCTGGCTACTCCATCCACTGAATGACAATAGTCATTTGGAATGGCCATGTCGTTAAAATAACAGTATCCTGCCAGACAGCCACAGTGTGTCTCCCATCACCATAATCTCTCCACTTCTCTCAAGGGTCTCTGGTTTTTCTTAGAGCCGTTCCAGAGCTGTTAGGATCAGTTTCCCTACAGACTTCCTCTCCTCATTCTAGAAGATTCTAAAATCCGAATGGAATGATGAAGGAGAAAGACATAGTAGCTAATAGAATTTCTACTCCTTCCTGTCTTATTCTCTAATCCATTTTTATATGCTTCAACTACCGCAACACGTCTCCCCAGCCATCGGGGAACCACTGTGCTCCTCACCACCCATTTAGGAGGTTGGAGTCTCAGGCCTGGAAGCCGTGGAGTAGTTAGTACTCTGTAAATCTATGGAATAAAGTAGGTAGGCAAATGTGAAATCTCTACCCCCCAAAACGCTCTCACAGCTACTCTGGAAACATTCTTTGGGGAGTACGTCATTCATTAGGAATCCCGTTTTGGATAAGGCCATAAAAAGGCTTACCTTAGCTACCACGCCAAATCCTTAATCAAGTAGCAGTGTACAGCTGGAGCCTGCCAAGGCTTGCTGGAGGAAAGCCACCACCACCTCTCCCCACAGGGCTGTGAGGAGATGGAATCCAATGTATTCCACACAATATGAATGAAGAAGGGAGTGAACGCTGCTCAGAGAGGCGGCTACAAATACCTCAGATGATAAAAAAGGCTGTTTTTTTTAATATTAATATTTTATTGCAGAGGGGTCCTGGCCAACTGGCTGGGCTTGCCGCCTGCATGAGCAAATGTCATCCTGACCTCAGCTGCTGCTCGCTTCGCGCAGACGCACGCTCTCTAAACCAATCACAGGCCAGCCACAAATGGTGTGGAGTGGACAATGTTTATACGATAGAAAGGCCAACAGAATGCCTATGGTATGAAAGAGGGAAAATAATAAAGAAAAAAAGTACTTTCTGTGAAACATCAGCTCAAACTCAACATGGTTATAAAGCCCAAACTAGATCTCAAAGTAGAAATTTTGGTTTCTCTAAATGGAGAAGACAAATGTTGCATAAGATCGTTCATAGTTTAATTTTTTCCTAGGAGTTCCATATTTATGAGAAATGATCTAAATGGTTTTAGTTCTTGCCTAGATAGTTGAACTTCCTCTTGGGATGTTTACAGAGGAGCATAGCTGGTTATTTAGAAGGTTACTTTTATAAATACCGAACTTCTGAGATATACCTGCTAGAGGCCTGTGGTGATTTGACCAAGAATGGCTCCCATAAACTAATATGTTTAAATGCATTGTTCCTGGCAGATGGAACTATTTTGGAAGGATTAGGAAGAATGGCCTTGTTGGAGAACGTGTGTCACTGGGGGTAGGCTTTGAGGTTTCAAAAGCCCACTCTATTCCTAGTTAGTTCTCTCTCTCTCTCCCTAGTGGTTTTTGTGTCAACATATAACTTCTCAGTTACTGCTCCAGCACCATGCCTGCCTGCTTGCTGTCATGTTGGCCCTGGACTCCCCTTCAGAAACTATAAGCACACCCCCAATAAAAATCTTTCTTCTATAAATTGCTTTGGTCATGCTGTCTTTTTGTAGCAATAGTAAATTAACTAAAGCAAGGCCCATAAAGATTCTGAATTTGGGTGGATGAGTAGATATCAAAACTAAAAGAGACCAGAATTCAGCTATGTAGTCATCTTTCCACCAGCAACCATTTATTTGGACTCCATTCATCTCTCCATCCTCCCATGCATCAACCATTTATCCATTTCTTCACACAGCATTTATCTACCCATCTATCTACAACACATTTATCTATCAGCTCTTCTATACATTCACCCATCCATTTATTCACCACCTACCCACCCACTGACCACCCATCTACCATCCACCTACACACCCATGTTTATACCTTCTTTCCACCCATCTACTTACCATCGTTTCAATATAATTGTTTACTTATTCATCGTTAAGGAAGGGTGTTGAGGAAAGGATGTCTTTAAACTTGTCTTAAAATATATGAGCTACAGGAACTTAAATGTGACTTTCTTCAGGAAATAGAGCCTTCAGGAGAAAGGGGAACCTCGGGGGATTAGAGATTGCCCAACGGTCATGACTACTCGGCACGTGACTCATATGTTGAACATTAAGCGAAGCTGCCTTAAAGCCAAAACTGAAAAAGCCTCATGATTTGTGAACTGCTTGAGCATCAAAGGGAGTGACTAACTGTGGGTTTCCCACGAGGCCACCATATGATTGTGAGGTCATGAGGCGGTGACAAACAAGGCCAAAACAAGTACTTTGCCTCGTATACCTCGTACTTGAGAGGTGCTAGGAAGGCAAATGACCCAAAATTTGACCACAAAGAAAGGGGTCTTTTCAATTTAACATGCCAGTCTTGTAACAATGTGCATGCATAAACACACACACATGCACACACACACACACACACAGTTTCTTGGTAATTAGATAATAACCCCCTTGGCCAAAAAAATTTATTAGAAATGATACATAGGGAAAGAAATAACTGACAAGGTGTTGTAACATCTGCACCAGTGTGTGCCACAAGAGAGATAGGACCCGTTTTAATCAGCCATAGGACACACAATAATCTTCCAACCACTCCACTGTGCTCTGTTTGTCAGGCAGATGCTCATGTTCCATACGCCATGTTTCCAATGTGACAGCAAAGACAGGGACAGAAGCAAGCATAGACCCCGCCTTCCTCAACACCTGCCCTGGGCTGTGCTTTATGCTCCACCCCCTGGGAGTATGGTGATTAAGCGCTTTTCTAACAACAGGTGCCCCACTGTCCTTCAAGGAATAGAAAATATGAACTCAAGAATAGAAAATATAAATGCAGCCATGGAGGCAACTTGTAGAGGACACAGAGGTACCAGTGCCTTAGCTGAGGATCTCCTCAAATTACAAGGACCTGCTCACTAAAACATGGTTTGGGATGAATTACTGAAGAAGAATGGCAATCTCTCTCGCTCCATGTCGAGAGACAGCCACAGCAGTCTGCTTTGATGGTATATTGGTCTATAACCAGACAAATTAGGAATTTCCCCTTTTTATCTCATGCTTCATATTGTAGCATAAATTCCCGTTCCCTCTCCTCTAAAGATTGGGAACAGATGGTCCCTTCCCAACATACTATATTAAGATTCACTTTTATCAGAAACCTCTTTACGTCTTGTGGGTAAGACAATTTCGGTTCCTTGCCTAGGCTGTCCCTAGAGGGTCTCTGATTTAGAGCTACAAGCATTTGAGGCTAGCCTTAGAGTCTCCATTTGCAATGCTGCCAGAGGAACAAGGACCAAACACAGTAATGACCTCGGGCCAGGCACATAGTGTTCCAGGGATGGTCCTGCCTTGAATAGGGTGACTTGGGAAAGCTCAATAATGCCTGAACCTGAACTTTCTTATCTGAAAGAGAAATAAGCAGGAGAATTGGTTTGCAGGCTCCCTTGACTCTAAAACTTCCCATGAATCCTAGTTCTCTTTATTTTCATTACTTGTTTTCTTAGTTTATGAGGTAAGACATATTAATCCTGAACCAAAGGAAATATCTGCTCTCAAATTTAGAGTGGTCATTTTGTTCTGAACTTTCTGGAAAACTTACCAGTTTACATATTTATACTCAATGACAGAGAGAGAGAGAGAGAGAGAGAGAGAGAGAGAGAGAGAGAGAGAGAGAGAGAGAGAGAGAGAGAGAGAGAGACAGAGAGACAGAGAGAGAGAGACAGAGACAGAGAGAGATAGAGATGAACTAGAGTTTTCACTTCAAGAATTTTGGAAGAATAGTACAGTCACATGATTCAAAAGTCAAATATGAAAAAGTAGATAGAAAGGCTTCTTCCCCATCCATGTCCTCTCCCCCTCTCTTGCCCCCTGAACTCTGACTCCTCTTTACCCGTGGCTTCCTCTCCACACCTGAGCACTTCCATTATCTTCCTCTCCAGCTTTGCCAGTGTTGGGGACACTGGATTCTCAGGGACTAATGCATATTCTAAATTCCAACAATGTGTATACTGAGAATATGTACATGTTTATGTAATTACATAAATATATTCATAGAAATGAAATTACAACACTCACTACATTAATTCAAAACCAGAGTCCCCAGCTGAGAATTGTGTTTCAGGACTTTAGCAAAGTACACAAACCGTGGTGGCAGCTCTGATCCGTCTTCCAACAACCACAGTGGCTGGAGGGCTGGACTGTTTCTCGGATGCTTAGAATACCTGAAGATTAGATCTATGGAGACCCATAGGCTGGAAGTAGTAGAATGTATTTATTACCTCATGAGGGAAAATTATTTTTCTCTTTCTCCATTGAGCAGAGAATGTCAGTTGGCTTCAGCTTGTGGGATTCTTATGGGGAGCAGGAGAAAAAAGAGGTGTGAGGCCTCCCCAAGTAGGAAGGAGCTATCCTCTCAGCAGAAGTGACTTCCTTCTGAGGCCTTGTTGCTACAGCTGCCATTCACAGCCTGACTTAGTCACAGCATCACCTGGAGAAGGTATATAAGTAGGTAGAGAAGCCAAATCCCCTTGACCCTGTGACAATAGGCTACCCCTTCCCGACAGTTGATAGTGAAGACCTCATCACTGTACAGATCTGTTTTTGTTCCCTTTTGGCCACCCAGGTAAAGACTGCTCTTAGACATCAGGATGGCCTTCCCAGTTGGTAACCCCTATGATGGCTGCCCAGGCCAAGTAAGCCAAGAAGAATGAGATTTTGTAAGTGACTTTGGGGATGCCAATGAGGACTTTGAAAAATATAGACACTTTCATATTCTTTCTTCATTATTTTAATGATTCCAAATTTGTTTCAGGCTACTTCTATGACTTGGAAAAAGAACAGGAAAAGAACGCTAAGATAAACAAGAGGATTATTTGCTGTCTCTACGTTTGCATATCAGTCCTGGGAGGTCAATGACATTCTCCTCATTCTCTAGGAGAAACTGCTGTTTTTTCATGGGCGGCCTGGAGGTAAATTGCAAAAACATATGGAGAAGCTGAGGAAATCTGAGTGCAGGGACTCTGCCTGCTTTGTGACTGTAACAACTATGAAACATGGTAAGAGCCTCAGTACCTCAAATACAGCCAAAGCCATTTCAACCTGGCAGAGCCTCTGTTGATAAAATTCACTGATAAAGGAAGAACACAGATTTCAATGGGATGTTCTAAAAACAAACAGCAAACAAACAAAACAGGGAATACATGCGATAAAGTTGATATCTGGGAACAATTAAAAAGGGGACATCCTGGCTAATTTGTTGTCAATTTAACACAAGCTAGAGTATAGACAGAAGTTTCTGTCCCACCTGGTCCCTCAGCCATTCAGTCCCAAAGAAACACACAGAGGTATCTATTAATTATAAACTCTTTGGCCTATTAGCTCAGGCTTATTATTAACTAGCTCTTACAACCTAAATTAAACCATAATTCTTTACCTATGTTTAGCCATGTGACTTGGTACCTTACTCAGAGCAGCATCCTCATCTTGCTTCCTCTGCATCTGGGTGGCGACTGCAGACTGAGCCTCTCCTCTTCCCAGAATTTTCTGGTCGCCCCACCTGTACTTCCTGCCTGGCTACTAGCCAATCGGCGTTTTTATTAAACCAATACAAATGGCAAATCTTTACAGGGTACAAGAGCATTATCCCACAGCACTAGAGTTGTCTGGGAAGATGAATCTCAATTGAGAGAACGCCTCCATCAGATTGGCCTGTAGGCAGGTCTGCGGGGGCATTTTCTTGGTTAATGGTTG